CACTAAATATATGCTTAATAAATCTTTGTTGAATTGACTAGTAAAAAAGGTCAACATAAAATTTATTTTATGATTTGCCCAAATTACAGTTGTAGATAAGGTTTTCTCTCCATTAGGGGACAAAACCTCTCTTTGTAAATAGTAGTATGTAAAGATGTATGAATTGTGAAACTCGGAAAAATTACAGTAAAGTCAGAACAAAAATTCAGGCTCATAGGTAGTGTAAGATAATGTAAAATATATCTGAACTTTGTTTACTAATAGTTTGGTTGCTTATGATGAAGCTGAGAAATTGCTTGCTTAGAAATATGTTTTGATTTTTTCTTCTCTTTTTCCTACATGACATTTGTCATATTTCTTTGACAGAGTGCAAACTTGATAGTAAACAGAGATATTTCTTGTTTGTCATCATTTAAGAATGTATAGTAAAATTTACACATGGAACACTGTGAATAATGATTATTTTAGTGTAATTCTTCATAACTTGGTATAGAAAAAGGACGAGTTAAGGTTTATTTAGCTACAAGATTAACTCTGTAATAAGTGTGATATTGATTATTTTCAAGTTAGAAATAAAATGATACATCCAGGAGCATTTAACAAAGACAGTGATAATTGGGTTAAAGGCTGATAATTGGAGAAGTAATAAGTTGAGGCATGTATATACTTCTTGTTTACATAATAAGCAAGGAAAATTAGATGTCTTCCCACAAAAATAAATCCTCTAAGGATTTTAAATCTCTATAGAAATGATGAGAAAAATGCTATTAAAAGTTCATCATTTTGTCTTCTGGGCTACCTCTGAGTTTTGCACATATTTTTAACTTAAGCACTATGTTGAATGATGTTATCCTTCTTCTCTTCTAAACTATGACCTCTTGGAGACCAGGATCCATGTCTTATTTGTTTCTGTATAGTTGCTAGCATATGGTAGGTACTCAAATTTTTATTGAATTAAATTAAATTGGAGTAGGATGCTGCCCTCTAGTACACAATTTAGAACCATAGGTCTTCTATCAGCTTCCCTGTAGGGGCAAATTAGAGCAAAAAGTGAAAATCAGGTCTTTGTTCCAATCTTCAAAGTTGGAAAAACCAGTTATGAACTAAGAGAAGTGGGACTTGGAGGATTTTTTAAACCTAGAGATTAGCCCTACATGGGAATGGACTTCCTAATTATTATACTTATTTCATGTATTTCTTTTCTGATAATTGATGGCTAGAATCACTATCAGGGTGGGGGTCAAGAACATTTGTGAAAAAGGAGCATTATTTGACACCTTTAAATTTTAGTACTATACACTGCAGTTTCTTATTACATGTCATGTTTTGTAATGGGCATTTTTTACCCTTTTCCTTAGTTGTTAAATGTCATCGTTTTTTAAGCTGTCAAGAAAGAACATTTTTTATATCTCTTGAGTTGGTCAAATTCAACTAAATACTTTTGGATTGATATGTAGTTTACCCTTGAACAACATGGGTTTGAATGATGTGGGTTCACTTATACACAGAATTTCTTTGGCCTCTTCCACCCCTGAGACAGCTATACTAACCCCTCTTCTTCCTCTGGCTCAGCCTACTAAACATGAAGATGATAGGGATGAAGGCCTTTATAATGATCCACTTCCACTTAATCAATAGTAAATATATTTCCTTATGATTTTAAAATAACATTTTATTTTCTATAGCTTACTTTATGATAAGAATATAGTATATATTAATAATACATATAACATATAAAATATGTGTTAATAGACTGTTTATGTTATCAGTAAGGCTTCTGGTCAACAGCAGGCTTTTAATAGTTAAGTTTTGGGGGAGTCAAAAGTTATACATGGATTTTTGACTGCTCAGAGTGTTGGCACCCCTACCTCCCTGCATTGTTCAAAGGTCAACTCTATTTGCCAAATCTACATAATGCTTTAAATTGTTCAGAACATTTGTATAGATCCCAAAGAATAGAGATACAAAGGGATAAAACATAAGTAAAGCATATAAACAGTGCTTTGGTGCATTTTTGAATGTGAAAAATTATAATTTTTTAAATATGAATCTTGATCTAGTAATATTATCACTAACATAGTACTGTTCAGAATATATTTCTGAACTCATTGCCTACCTAAGATTCAGCTATTTTATATTAAAAAGGGCCAAAGCAAAGAACTTTGAGATCTAAGCCAGAAACCTAATACCGTCAGAACTGAAACTGTTTTCTTGAAATACCAGTGTTGGCAATAACCTTTAGAATACAATATTTTTTTCCAATACAATGAATATTAGATGGCCTTTTCTCTAAGATAAACATTATATTAATGTGCATATCTTAACTCCCAGGGCTTAAAATAGCAAAAGGAGGTAGGAACTGAAAGTACATTGAATCAATGCTGACTTGCATATTTGGGGAATTAGTAAAAATTGAGGTCAGCAAGAGTCCCAGGATGCAGGACAGATCAAGGAAGGAAGCACACCATGGTGGCTGTATTCCTTTCCTATTGGCCATGACATGGGCAGCTGGAGAGGAAGGTGGCTCTTCTGTTAAGTGTTTTCTGTAATTCCTCTCTGTCTGTATGGTTGGCTTATGGTCAATCCTACTTTTATTTCATTCTGCAGAGAGGAAAATTCCACTTTAATATTGCTGGGTATGACAGGAAATAGTATCAGTAGCATAGTACCTCACACATAGTAGGACTGATGTAATGAAAATCAGACTATTGTCTCATTCCAGTAGGGTGTCTGGAACATTTAGTTTCTTGGAGAAATTGAGTATTGCAATACTTAATGTGATGTTTTAAATCATGGCAATCAAATTGTACTAATAGAATCTCCTTGGAATTTTAAATATGAGCAGGCTAAACAGGATCCCATTTTTAATCATCTAGGTTCCAAAGAAACTTTACTATAGTCGAAAGAACTCTGGACTAGAAGAAATATAAAATTTACCTGGGATTATTTTTCAAAAAGTATATCCTCACCTACTTCCTCTCCTATCCTCCACCAAGGACATATTAGAATCTCCAAGGCAGATAATATGTAGTTGAAAAAAAGCTGCTCATGCAAGTTGTATTTCCTCTTACTATTTGTTTCTCATCACCTCCTGAGTTTGAAAATCAATGGAGAAGTTGAGTTGTAAAATTATTTGATTTTGTTAGCAAAAATTCCATTACCTAGTGATGGTTTTCTTCCCAGGAGTTGTCAGTTCTGTACTTATCTTCTTTATTGGGACTTGTGTAATATGGAGTTGTATTCTCTTAGGGTATTGGCATTAATTCTAAAGTATTCTATAAGATAGAGGTAGTGGATTAAATGAGGATCATTTTCTCTTTCTCTACTTTCTTTTTCTAGGCTAGTATTCAGTATCTTGGATCAGAGAACTTTAGAAATATAGGCTTTCTTGATCTTTAGAAGTAGAATGTCTACTGTCAGAACCCTGATTAAGTCCTATTACGCTGGTAGAAATAGTGCCTCTGGCATACAGTAAGCACTCAAGCAATGGTTGTTCCAGCAAAGTACCTTCATGGTTTAATAAAACACACTGTAAGAAAATATTGATTAAAAGTAATTTAAAATACAATTTTATTTTTATTTTGGCTTTTGGAATAAGAATCAGACTTTTTCCTAGATATATTTAAACTAATTTTAGAGAAATATAAACAGGATGACTTAGGGCTTCTTAATAGAATGGAAATAATTTTTCTAAATAGAAGTTATTTATTTTTATTCTAATAAATTATTCATGATTATCGATTATGGTCATTTGAATGGCAAGGGAGATTTTATTCATCGGTCTGTGATAGAAAGTCAAGTTGAGCCCCAAATCAGTAAATTCCTAGTAGATATCCTATTATTTAAATCTGTGGTATCATCTCAATGTGCTGTGCACAAAGTAGCCACTCAAATATATTAATCATTATGGTTTAAAAAATAAATTTTTTTCTTATAAAAATAATAGAAGCTATTTTAAAGAATTGCATTGAGAAGGAAAACAGATAAAAGTTATCTATAATTCTACCTGTGAAGAGCATTATAGAAAATTTTGGTGTATTGATGAAAATAATTTAATATCCACTCCTACTGATTAAAGGTTTTAGAGTCTGGTGAAAATTTTCTTATTTAAGATAACTATCTTAATAATTATCAGTCATCCTCTTTTAATCCCTGAAAGTTTTTTACCATTCTTCATTTGTAACTTCCATACTCAGTCTGAGGTCCAGTGATACATAGGCTTCATTGCTTAAAATACTGTAGATCTATAATCAATTTTAGGAAGTATGTATAGTCACTTAATGATCATCATCTACTATTCTTCCTATAAAAGAGCTCCTCTAACTGATTTCTTTCCTTCCGTGGATTATTTAGATAACTTCTATCCTTCTTGTTGAGACTTTTAAGCTAAAGGGGTATATACTTGGGCTACTCTTGTTCAGAATCATTGTTTTTTAAGTGCTTTAGTATCTTGATCATTTCTGCTATCAAAATATTTTCCTGTCCTGTCATTTTTGTTGGGAAATCATAGAAAAAATATATTTTATTTTCAATAGTGTATGAATTACCTAAATTTCATACCATTCAAATATTGAAAATATCATCTAATTCTTATTGAGTCAACAATAACTTAAATGTTTGATTTTTATTGCTGTTAATGAATAGTTCAGTCTCACTAAGACATACCAATTTTGAGGTCATCTTATCTGTTTTAAAAGACCCCAGGTACTCAGAGCAGGACACACAGTAAACTTTGTTATTAACATCATCTTGTTTGAATTATGTCTCCTGTGGGGTTCTGGGAATGAAGTGAGTTGCCTCAAAGTGTGAAAATCAGGCTGAGCTGGTTGGAGGCCAGATTGGACTAGTCTCTATAAGAAGTTAGCGTCTTAGGTGAGATTCTTAATGCCCATTAGACTTGCAGCATTGCTGGCTGCATTTTATACCAGTAGCCAGGTGTGGGCAGTGATACAGGGCTTGGGGGGAATCTCTCTTACCGGCCCAGGGATCCAAGGCATTCAGTGCAAAACCTGGCCAGCAGCCCGAGTGAGTAGGAGCCATGTGACTCTGGTGAGTTGGAGTGTGCAATTGCCTCCTGCTTCAGAGCTACCTGATCCGAATACTAAGCAGAGCGAGTGCCGGGCTGAGTGTAAGACACTGAAGACACTGCAGAGCAAGGTGCTTATTCCAGAGGCGTTACAAAACATGGAGATTAAAGACCAGGGAGCCCAAATGGAGCCGCTGCTGCCTACGGTAAGAGACAACCTGCTGTCACATAGATTAACAGTGTTTGCTGCAAAACCTGTCAGGCAAGTGGTCTGCTAGCTAGGTGCAGTGAGTGTACTTTTGGGGTGGTGGATAGCTCCCACGACATATGGACAGGGGTCTCCTCCCATCTCGGGAGACTGAAATGCATAAAGCAAAGCACATGATTTCCCCCAGCCCCCCCTTCTCAATATGGATGCACTACAGTGATGAAATGTCTCATGTTTGCTGCTGTTTGAAGAAATGGCTAGGTTTTAGCAGCAGGGGCAGTTGCATGTCTCTCTCCCTGCCCGTTACTGCCTGTCTATCTGTTTCTCAGGCTGTGCAGTGGTGGTTTAAGCCCCTGCAAAGAAGCTCCCCTTTATCACATTTATTCCTTGACAAATTTCCTCCCCATGCCTCATTCCCGGGCAGTGAGGTGAGGGAATCTGCTGCTGTTTGCTAGAGATTTAGTCTCCGCAGATACCGGGGGAAAGAACAGAAGGAGTGTGTGTGAGTGTGTGTGTGTGTGTGTGTGTGTGTGTGTGTGTGTGTGTGTGTTGTCAGTCTGTTTCTCAAAGGGAAATGGGTCATGGTTCATGTGCAAAGAAGGTATGCATTTTTGGGGGACAGGCACACAATTCAGATTTGAATATCTGAAAGGTTCCTGAACTGTCATTTGGAAATAGCCCATCTGTTTATCTCTGGTTCTTTAAGCTGTCTCCCTAGATTTAATTTTTGGATAGGTGATTGATTTGTCTATCCTCTCCACAATCTCTCTGTCTGGCTCACAGACTTTGGAGATCTTCAGGCAACATCGTTTTCAGTCTGGAGCAGCTGATGTTGCTGTGTTTAAGGAAAAAAGGAAAAAAAAAAACAACAAAAAAACCCCAGTATTTTCTTGACGCAACAGAGACGCCGAACGTAGCTTCCAGCAATCTATCAGCGCTACCACAGCAGAAATCCTCTCCCTGCACCAAACCAGACGGAGGGGCTGTTTCTCAGCTCTCTGTTACTCAGGTTGGTGACCCACCTTGCAGACTAGGGACTGGCACTAAGCTGTTCGTTTCCGAGTCCGTTCCTAGTCTTTGAACACACCTTTAAGTCAAATGCTACCGTATGAGGAGTGGGCGAATTCTGGGCCACTGTATTTTCAGGGCCTTACCTCTCCTGCCGGTCTCAAATGCCGCAAAAAGATTTCAGTTTGCATCCCCGGAATCAGCTGTAACTACTGAGCATGCCCAGTTCTCCTCCGGCCACCAGGTTTGGGCAGAGAGGGAGCAGGGAGATAGGAAGAATGCTGGAGTCACTACTAAGAATAGAGCCTAAATAAAGGGCAGGAGACGTGTCAGAACAGGGGGATGGGGGCAGGGGAAGGAAATATGTCAGTTAGTCTACCTGCTTAAAAGTAGAGGGATTTCTTTGGGAAATCCCAAAGTGAAGTTATACAAAATAAGGGTAAGTTATACGAAAATAAGGGTAAAAGGTTTGTCCACTTTCTCAAACTTAAACAGATACATAAATTAGGATTCCTAATTTAATTGCTCAGAATAAATAGTGTGAAGGATACCAGGAACAATTTCTCTGGATGAGAGAGAGGAACTGTACACAGGATTTGTGGTATGGAGATTTAGAGAAGATTAGGTATAGAGGGGGGAAAAAACCTTTTTTGGCAAGTGTGTGTGTGTTTGTGTGTGTGTGTGTGTGTGTGTGTGTGTGTGTGTGTATGTGTGTGAACCTGCCCTAGAAAAACAGGCTGAAGCCTGTTTGATGTGGCTTATGGATTGTCACTAGTAGGGAACAGTTAAAGGGTTTAGGACCAAATGAGGATTAACTGGAGGAATTTAGAAAAGGATGACATTACTAGACTAGATGGGCAACCAGTTTGTGTCTAAAAAAAGAGCAGGGAACCATGGCTAAGATCACATAGTGATGAAGCCAGGACCAGAATATAGGTCTTCTAAAACTTGTTAAGAATTTTTGAAAAAAATTGAATATTTTTTTACATCACATTCTTAACCAGGCTTAACATGATTAGTTCTGGGACTGGAGTTTTTATTCTTGGGAGAGGGAGAGAAAGAAATAGCACTGGACTCTGATTTAGAAAATTAATCAGATGACTTTGCAAATAATTATGTCAGAGGCAATATTGCATAATATTTAAGAACACAATCCAGTAGATCCCAGCACTGCTATCTACTTGCTACATGATATTGAAAAGTCATAAGCCATAGTTTCTTCAACTGAAAAATAGAAAGGGAATGGCATATAGCTCTTGGGTTTTGTGATGAGTAAGTGAAATAACCTATGTTAAATAACCGGGCATTTAGTAAGTGCTCAATAAACATCAGTTGCTGTTATCATTGTTAATGTTGCTATTATGTTGTTAGGAAAATATTATTGCTATATATTCATCTCAATACAGACGTTGACTTGAAGTCTAGGTTTCAGGTTTTTATGAAGGGGAGTTTGTCAGTACTGTCTACTAAGAAACAAAAATGGGAAATTGAATGGTGGACGAGACTCTGCATTGGAGGTGGGAGGTGGGTTTTTTAGTTATAGTTATGGAAACTTTGCAATATGGTTGGAGAACCAATTAGAAAGCCAAGATTAGATATGGACAGAAGAAGTCAGAGGTAGATAGAAAAATGAGGGAAAAAGAAAAATCACAAGAAGGGACAAGTATGTCACATGAGTGAATGTATTTCTGATTCAAGTGAAATGGAGGAAAAGATCATCATTAAACTTCCTAAGGGTTTATTACCATTTAGTATATATAAAATATATCTGAAGGTCATGAGTGGAGGAGGCCCTGATATGTTTCTCTTTTTTCCCAGACCTTCTTAGGAAGCTTCAAAGGTAATTTTCTTTTAGTAGACAAGCCATCATGCATTTTGTAGGCCCTAACACTCTAAGGGTGAGGGCATTCACTCTTCTGGGCCCAGAGCACAGTGTGGCTTTGGTAGCAACTGAGTTATGTCAGAAGGTGTAGAACAAGCATTTCCGGAGGATTTATTCACTTATTAAGTGTTTACTATTGGCCAAACATGTTCTTGGTGTTGGAGATACAGCAATGAATAACACAGGCAAAAACTCTGTCTATATGGAGCTTGCAATCTAGCTAGTCTAGAAATAGGGTTCAGTTTAGCTTTTTAAGAGACTGCTGCTTTCTCCTCAAATATTTAATCATTTTTATAAGTTTTTTGAGATGGGTATATATGGAGAATATATATAACAGTAATAATGGTGATATCAATTTAGTAAGGGATGGAATTAACCTTTTAAAATCATGAAGCCATATATTTAGGATTGCATTAAAGATTTCACATTTTCCTTTGACATTCAGTATTGAATTTGTTTCTAGGAGTAACCTAGCAACTTTTAAATTGTCAGGCCATGGAAGAAGCTTCTAGGAGAATATCTTTATAACAAATATGTCTATCCTATGCCATCTAATCTTGGGTGACATATAGTGTGTCCACTTTGGATCCCTTATAAGATTCTCTTGTCTTGGAAGTTACTTCTTTTAAGTTGAGCTTACTTTATAAAACTTCCAGAGGTATACAACTGTAGTAAAACTCACTTTTAAAAGGTAATTTGAGGCCAGATACAGTGGTTCATGCCTGTATTCCTAGCACTTTGGGAGGCTGAGGCAGGAGGATTGCTTGAGCTCAGGAGTTTGAGGTTGCAGTAATCTATGATCATGCCACTACACTCTAGCCCGGGCGATGGAGTGAGACCCTGTCTCAAAAAACTAATAAATGATTA